CTCAACAATGGTACCGATCTCTCATGTCACTGCTTTCTGTGCCAGTTTACAAACCCTGCCGCTTTTTCCATCTGTATGTTTAAAACACAACTGTTGTTCTCACCTTTTCCAGCCTGCAAAATGGCACCTGGGCTTTGAGAGTCAAAGGGACTTTTCCCTTCTTACCTGCCATGACAGGGAAGAAAGCCTCTGTAGGCAACATTTTGCCCTCAGTTACACTTAGGAAATGCCTTATGCTCCTCCTGGGGGCAGTTTGTTGAAGTTCTAACTGGGACACAGTGAAGACCTCTGTTTCTCGTACGTAAGAAAGAGCAGAGTTATTCTACACCTGCTGCTGCATGTTCATGCTGAAGGTATTTAAAAGTGTGTTTTGTCGGCGCCTCCGACTGCACATGCAGCGGCTAGAGCTGCTCAGATACAAGGTGTCATTTCTGGTCCAGCCCTATCTCAGAGCTCATCACACCACGAGTCTGACATATCACTGCTTTGTATCTTATCTGCCAACTGCACAGTCAATGGAAAACTCAGCGTGCAGCTCTGGGCATTGCTCGGCTCTCTGACGTGTCAAATTTATCTGCATTTCTAAGAGCATGTTCTGCCTGTGATACTAAGGCAACCCCACTTCCCCTGCTTTAAAACTCCTACGTGAGACCCCACCCAGTAAGACACAGAGCACAGAGTGCATCCAAATTCTTGTGCAAGGGGCAGGTGAAATATTCTCCTCCCCGGGTCTTGCACCAGTTACCCGACACCTAACTCCTGAGCCAAGGAATGCCTCACTGGGAAACCGAGGGAGCACCATGAGAAAGACAAAAGGAGATGCTGGTGCAGCAGGTGTTTAGGAGGTCTTGCCCACCCCTTCCCTCTGCTTATTTCACTTGTCTCTTACATGCTAGGCTTCAAAAGGAAACTCTTTTGAAGAATGCCTCCTGTGCTATATTGCTTCCCCGTTGCATCTTCAACAGTGTTGCTAAAAAAAAACAAGAAGAGAGAGTTTTAAAAGAAGGGAGACAGCTGAACTCAGAGTGTTCATGCTGAGGCAGGAGATTCCCTTCCCACTGGCACGTGTCCCCAGGGACCTGCCACTTGTCACCATGTTCCCTGGTTCACATGTTCTGAGAGACATAAGGCTACAGCCACCTTCTCATCTCGGCTTAGTCTGCGGATTAGGGCTCAACATCAAGTTACCACAGTTCACCAAGTTTCCATGAGTCAGCTGAGACAAGGTTTCTGCCCTTGTGTGCGCTTCCAGCCCACAGCAAATGCAAGGTAATGAGACTTAGCCTGGTCTGCAGAGAAAGAAAATTAAGCTAATCCCCATTATTGCACGTTTGCCATCAGTGAAAAGAGCACACGCTGAAAATCCTGGGACATAGTCCCCAGGGGCAGTTGTTACACTGGGGGACCTGGTAATTTGTAACCACTTCTTGTGCTGGTGTGCAATATTTCTGCACTTTTGCACATAGACCTCATCCAGCTACAGAAGTTACACACTTCTAGCTTACTGGTTTAAGCAGTAGAGTCTAGAAAATGTGGAGGTCATGATTTATAACAAAGAAGAACAAAGCAAAAAACGCCTCAACAATAATATAAAGATTCTACAAGCTCATAAGAACAGCAAGAAGAACAGCACGACTCTGAACATCCACTGCTGTGAACTCACGGAGCTTCAAATAATGTTGAAACACAGATCTTTCTTCAGGCTCTCTCAAATCATAAGTGCTCACAAGACCTCACACATGCTGTTTTTATAGGGGTTGTGTTGCCTTTTCCTTTCCCAAAGCACCCTAAACCACATCTGGCTGCTGCAGATCACATAAGCCATAGTCCTCACTTCACATCTTCTGGCTCAGAGTTTGGCAAGCTGGCTGGAAATGCTGCATAAACGGGACAGGCATTTTCCATGGCTTCAGTCTACATGCGGGATGTACTCATTAGTTAATCTGGATGACAAATGAGTGGTTACCTCTTTCACATGCAACTGATACTGGCAAAAGCATCTACAAAATTGAGAGGTGATGGGAAACAGCATGTGCCACCTGCCATCCTTCCTGTATGGAAATATTGCTAATTGATCGCTTGGAAGTGTCTGACTTGCTGTGTGCTATTTTATACAGGATAGGTAATTTTGTCTTCAGAAGGTTTACGAAGGCAGTTATGGTTGCAAATGGGAATGGCAGCAAAACAGAAAATTCCCATATGAGGGGCAGCACACCACTGCCCTCCTGCTGGTCTGAGGTCTGCGGATGCTCCTATCACAACCCTGGGTATGGATCACTTTTAAAGTGCAGAGGCAGATAAAGACAGAGGCTGTTAATAATTTAAAACAATACCAATCATCAGTGGTAGTCAGGTAAAAGAATAAACTTAGTTTGCTCTGTAAGTATTTATACAATAGTCTTATCTCCAGCTACGTCCTCTGCAGCTGTGGGCTAATTCTTATTCTTCCAAATTTTGAGAACTGTGGGAAGAATTACATCTCCGCTGGCCTGGGGTCATATCGCAGGTTGTTTTTTCAAACACATATTGTAGAGTATTAACACAGGAAGCAAGCCTGGCCCCAAAGCCCCCAAACTACTGAGTGAGAACAAACTGAGAGAAGAGGTTCTGGGCCAGAGATTTAAAACTAAAAAGAGATGGAATGCTATGGCTTAAATAAAAGATGAGGTTTTAAAAGTTTCAGTCAGGTGCAGCTGCTTTCACAGCATTAAGAAGAAGATGGAACTGCAGAAGTTATCCGAGTTGACCTCCAGTAAATGCCAGCTTCTGTAGGTCTGGGCTGCTTTGGATCTGGGTGCCTGCCCTGAGTTGGTAGGTCAGAAGCTCAGCAGGGTTTCTCCAGCATCACCCAGTCCTGCCCATGCCGTGGTGGTGGTGGAGCACCCCAGGAGGCGCTGGGCCACTGGGACTGGTCATCCCCACCTGATAGAGCGGGTGTTGATCAGTGTGGGCCCACTGACCCTCCCGCGGCAACCCCAGCATTCTGGGCAGGCTTACACGCCGCAAAGCACTCAAGGGGGAGCATGGGCTTCAGTACATGTGAGGTGATGGTTATGCGAGAGAGGGCCGGAACCTCTGCAGGTAAAGCAGAAAATCACCTTGAAGAAGGCAGGCACAGGCTCTCCTCTGAAGAGTTAGATTTGTGCACAGGCTGTCTAATGAAGATGAGGGAGAAAGAGATACGGAATATTTCCATCGACTAGAAGAATTGGTGCAAAATTTGCCAGTGATGCTTGTAATGGCTAATAAGTACTGTGTACTGAAATCTGTGTCTGTGCCTCTTCTGCTTTCTCATTTTCCCATCCATCCCTCTGCTCTATATTTTGATTAATATAATGGGAATATATCATCAACTGGATTTCATTTGAGACAAAGGTGTGTGCCTGAAGACATTTATGGAGTGTAATTAGCCACTCAATAATTTTCGTACAACTGTTTAGCAATGCTATTTTCAATTTATATTTTATTTTAGTTTGATATGCTCTGCTTTTCACACCCGGTGAAGCAAATGGCATGGAAAATTTAAGTTTATGATTCTTTCTCTCAGTTCTTGTACGTGCTAGCAAGGGTTCAACAAAAGAATTATTTATACTAGTCTACTTATTCTTGACTTCTAATTAGTACTTAGCTAATCATCATCTGCAAAGCAGACTTCTTTTACTTAGTTTATTTTAAATTAAGGCTACTGGGGATTAGCATCTACAAGGTCACTTGACAAAATGCCAACCTTGCCTGTCAGACAAAGGTTGCTCTAACGAGCTCACAACCCCCCAGCGCTGTGCGCTGCCTGCATGGGTACCTCTCCAACAGGATCACGGAGCAGACTTCAGCTAATGACAGATTAATGACAATTTAGTCAGCGTAATGCCTCCTGTCACTAAAGCTTTTCCATTGCAGCAGCGCTTGCAAAGTCCCTAAGAAATGCCACGTACATGTACTAGCTTTGCGTACAGCAATTTCCACCAAAGGATAAAGTTTTGCAGCAGCAAATTTCAGAACTCCTGCATCTAGGCAAAAAGATAAACATTCAACATCTCTCTCAAGAGCTGATTTTTTTTTTGTTTTAATTTTTATATATTTATAAATATACCATAAAGCGTACCATTTCCTTGTTTCAGTACAGATTTTTCGAACTTTACTAAAATAAATGAAATAGAAATGCTACAATTATATGTTTAAAACAAGTTTTGATGACAGCCTTCCCCTAAGAGCAGGCCCAGAAAACTCTGTTAGCTATGTGGAGAGAGACAAAAAACACCCCAAAACTTCATACTATAGCATTCAGAACAGCAGATGTGCCTCATCTGGAGCTGCTTGCAGGTGTCTGTGAATTCCTCACGCGAATGCTCACTCTCCTTAATAGAAACTGCTTTATAACTAACCTGAAAATTTCACATTCAACATGTATCTATCTCCCTTAAATTCGTTGTCAAGACCCTGTTTTGCATATCTGTGCCTGCCTTTGCTGATCCCAAACAGCAAGAGGTATCGTCAGTTGTGGATTTGGGGATCAGGATTGCAAAATCGCTGAATTTTCAGATAAAGCCACGTGAAATTAACCACTGTAAACCTAGAAAAAAAAGTCAACCTTTTCTTTTTTCCTTCTCCCTCACAACCTGGAAAACGTTCACAGCATTGAAACAATGAGGCATAGGAGCAGGGGCACGGATGATACACACCACACGCATTTTGCGCTTTTGTACTACTCAGTGCTGTCTTTGACCTAAACTGGTGCTTCCTGGAGAGGAGAGAAGGTTCCAGAAGAATCCTACCTTACCCATCACAACCCCTTTGGTTCAACTTCTACTACACTTTCTGGTCCTGCAGGTGAATACTTAGCTATTAAAGCAGCAATCTAAAATCTGTCAGTGTGTCTTGCTGCCAAGGGTTTTGTTGTTGGTTTACTCCTTCTCAACGTGCACTTTCCAAAACAGACGTGTTAAAACAAACAAACCAAAAAAACCCCCCAAAAAACCCAAACCAAAATGAAATCTCTCAAACAATGATAACACCACAATATTTGTTTAAAACAATACTGCCCGTGCTCTGGACAAATTGTTAAGAGCAATTCAATTCAGCATTCTTATAATTAATCCACAACAAAAGAAGCTATAAGATGCCACAAATGAAGGCATAATTGGCCATACAGAGGCAACACTACCATGAATGTTGTTTGGCAAGGTGAAAAAAAAAAAAAAGCAGATACATAATTCATCCAAAGGACGGGTTCAGAACTGCCCGGCGCTGCTGGGATCACACTGCAGGAGACGGACTATGGACGGATCACTCTTAGCGCCTCGGATGAACTCTTCCAGAGAGAGCTTTCCTGAAAAAGAAACAGGTTTGCTTAGCACATGTGGTGGGGTCGCAGCACCCCTGCCAAGTCTCTGGACAAGCACAGTGGAAGGAAGCTGCTGGAGCCCAAGGAAAATCCCCTGGGAAAGCAACACCACAAGGCAAAGCCCTGCCTGCCTGTACCCCCCAGCTGTGGATGATGATGGCTTTGCCTGGGTGGCTGAAGGAGGAGTGGTGGGTGTGAGGGTTTGCCCTGTGTAGACAAGATACCCTGGCCACCCAGCACAGGGGCAGAGATGGCTGTCCCAGCATCTGGAGGGTTCCTACCATCGCGGTTGGTGTCCATCTGACGGAAGATCTTCTCTGTCCTCTTCTCTGGTGTTGACTCATCTTCTGGCATCTTCATTACAGAAGAAACCATCTTATAGATTGCCTGCATGACATGACAGGAGCAAAGAGCTGGTAAGAAAGACATTATCTTAATGCAGGGATATGATATCTCCTGGTGACAGAAACAGGCAGAAAACATCCCAGGAACATCATCTGGGACCTGCTCTCTGGATGCTGAAGGGAGTCAGGTGGCATCAGTACAGGCAGCTGCCCTCTTCGGTGGGATGCTCATTTATGAAACACTGCGTTTCCTTATTTAGTCATGGTCGAACACAATCTGGGTTTGGACCAAGGTTACATTTTTCCATATTAAAACTGTCTTCGCATGAATTTATCACTTGTACAGCACATTAAGCACTGGCAGCTCCTAGTCCCTGGGGAAACGGTAAGACCATCAAGTCTTGTCCTGCGCTGTGGTGTGTCTCTATGCTTTGGCTAGCCAGGTTCTGTCTCCACCACCCCTGTCCCCACACCCTGTGCTTGCTTCTCCCCCATGTCCTTTCTCTCCCTCTTTGGGGTGGCATCCTCTTCACAGGGAGTGCAGTGACTCACTCCCTGCATTTGCTGTGTCTCTAAGACAATGAAGACTTGACTAGAAGGAAGCGGCCTTATTCTTGGGGGTTGACATGCGTACACAGCTCAAAAACCTGTTCACAATTTGTTCCACAGAGAGCAGATGTTCTGGTCCCACATGGCACTGGTGCCACCCATAGCTGTTCTCTGCACAGACAAATCCATTAGTCATATATGGTACTAGCTGCCCCTAAAAGAGAGGTAATGTTAATTTTGAAACAAGGATGAGTAGTTGTCTCTGAAGTGGTTATCCAAATGTTGCTTACAAACGTGTAAGCATGCAGCATGAGTAAATTTGTGAGTTTTGTGTTAGATGCTTCCACACAGCTGGGAGAAGAGCAGCAGCGGCCAGATGGCTGCAGGTTGGTGGTCTCAGGTGAGCCTCCTGACCATTTAGGGGGGCAACACATCCCAGCCCAAGGCAACATTACCCTGGTCTGACCAGCGCCTTCTGCTTCCCTTTGCAGCTTGCTGGCTGCTGGCGGCCAGGTGCTGCGCTGGGCAGTCACTTTGCCCTCCAGCTCTGGTCCGTAGATATGGATCTTTCTCTTCTGCATTTTAAATTCTTGTTTCCCCCTAACACAGCGTCTGCAGCAGTCAGTTGATAACTCAGTGCAGACATGATTGCTTTAGCTATTTGTTCTCTGCCTCCTCCTGCTCTAGGAGGAGTCGTCCTTGTTGCAAGACCAAAATCGCTCACTGGATCTTCCCTTGTCCCATTCATGAGGGCAATCTGCTTCGCACACTCCCACAATCAGGCCCAGGAACATGACAGCACAGATTCTGCAGCTGGAGGATGCTGCTGAGCAGCACAGGCATTTTATGCTCAGACTAGGGAGCACCCACACCCTTGGCCATTTTGCTGGCATCTCCTCTGACAGCAGCTCACCTCTCACATCTCCTTTAAATAACTTACAGAATCACACTCCAAGAAAGGCATTTGTCTGTTTAATTAATTATTCATCACTTATGTTCAGTGCAATCAAACATCTGTTCCCTCAGTTATGCCAACGCGGTGGCTCTGGATTTTCCGGTCTGCCCTCCGGTGAGTCTGTAATCCTGGCTGTGGACCTGAGCAGGGTAACAGAGGAGAACTTTTCAGCATGAACAGCTGCTGGCTGAATGGAAGAGTGGCAGGCACCCTTTTAATAATCACCATCATCATCATCATATCATCATCATCATTATCATCATCATCATCATGATTTGCACTGCGGGAGTGCCCAAAGTCTCCCAAGAGAACTATTGTGCCAAAGTATTAGGCAGAGCTTCAGCACAGGCAGGGGTGATGTCCACAGCCATCTGATAACCAGGAGAACAGAAAAAACGATGAACATGTAATAAGGGGAGAAAAGGAAGGGGAGAGTGGATAGAAAGAATTTACACCTTCCTCATCCTCATCAGCATGCAAGGCTCACAGGGGTCAGAGCAGAGACGAGGCTTATAAATCTGCCAATGTTTAAGCATCTTAAGCTGTCTGGCTTTTGTCTGGAGTAGGAAGAGAGGTGGGAGGGGTCATTCCTTCACTCTGGGCGAGAGGATGGCAAGGCAGAGAATTTGTATTGAAAGTGTGGGAGGAGTGCCCCGGACCGGGCTTGTTTACCCTGATCAAAGTAACCATAGTAAGAATATGCAGATTTTTAAGACAAAAAAAAAAAAAAAAAGCACTTTGGGATGACTTCATCCCTCAGGGTCCTTTTCACAGAGGCATGTGAAGGGAATAACAGATGAGATATTCTAGGAAAGCCAGATGGGAATAACATAGTAAGCGTTCCTTTCATGCTGAAAATGGTTACTCTGGACAAATTCTTATGTCCTTACTCAGAAGTTTAGTGGGAAGTTTTCCCAAAGTAAAAGCCAGCTAAAGCTGATTAAGAATCTTGAGACTTGCCCCATATTAATTCAATACAGCTACAGAGAGCTCTTTATAGTGTGTTTGAAAGAGCAAGCTTTAAAAGGAAGCTGGTTTCACGCAATAATCCCATGGAGCTGGGCTGTAGAAACCCTGGGCGGTAACCTGGGACTGAAAGACTGCAGGGGCTCCACTCCATGTGGAGTACAACTCCTCAGCCTCACAGCACTTGGGCTGGAAGCTGTCAGTGGCACTCAGCAGGAGAAGCTTTGGAGGTGGTTATCTCTCAGCAGCCACCTGAGTAAGGGCAGCTTTCGCAGGTGGACTTCTCTCAGGAGGGCTCCTAAAGCTCCCTGGTGCCCCTGAATGCCACTGGTTGTGTCTCCAGAGCCCTGTGTGCACCACTGGAGCAGGCAGAGGCTCCAGCTTCATCTGAACTGGCTGGTTCCCCTCTGAGCTCTCCCCTTTGATTTTCCACCTGCATGTGGATGGCTGGTGGTGGGTGATTTAGGGTAAATCATCTCCCTTTGCCCGATCACACAGGTTTTGCTCCCAGTGGCTGGCTGCAACTGCTGTGCTCGGGGCAGAAATCTTGGTGGGAGCTGCACTTCCCTGCTGTACTTGGTAAAGTGTCTAAGAGCTCCTTATGGTGATGGCAGCAATGACAGCACAAATTTTCAGTCAATCCTTTTTACTCTGTGTAAATAAGTTTTGACAGCTAAAAGTATTATGAAGTGAATAATTGGCTTGAAAAAATTTCTTTCCTCTCAATCTCCTGAAGATTTTTGACCCTGTCTTTACTGAAAGTCATATCAGCTTCTACTACTTCCCATATCAGCTTCTGTTTCTTCCTGGCTTACAAATAAACTAGCCCAGCAACTGAAATGTGTGTGTTCAGTTTGTATTAAATGGAAAGTGTTATTCTTGTCCCTCAGCTCAGTATTCTTAAGATGCCTCATGATGCCATACAGTGAAAAAATGTACCCTTAAGAACAAGGTTTCCATCTCTTATTTGAACTCTTATTTTAAGAGACTCTCACCAAATATGTCGCATTTCAGCAGGGGAAGAAACACAAATCTTCCAGCTGGTTTGCAGTTATTTTTGAGTGGCCTGAGCTATTTAGAATATAGGTAAACATACAGACTTCTCCACGGACACCTCCTTGTCACGGGGGAGAAGCTTGTGTGCCCTTATGAGGTTGCGAGCTCTGCTGGCGGTAGCACATGCCTCCGATAGGGTCTCCCATGCCAGACATATCTCAACTGAAGGGTCAGACTAAGTGTGTCCACGGGTAGGATGGGCTCGCTAGCCTCCCAGCAACCATCCTAGGAGAAGGACAACTCTAACTCCAAACCTGGGCAGATGGAGCTCATTTAGCCCTGTAAGGCCATCCATCTAAGAGAAGAATACTCTGACTAAATCTATGTCCTGAGGATTTTGCTGTCACCATCCAAACTCACTAGGCCCTGGCAGATGAAGCTTAGGAGTAAAGGGTGGGACCAGTTCTGCGCACACTGAGTCTCACCTAAAAAATCCATTGCGCAGGCTTGAAGGTTACACCGCATTTTTAAAGTCCTGTAGCGACAAGTGAGGGATGAAATGGCAGGTGCACTGGAAGCCACAGACCCAACCCTGCATGCAGATGGTTGAGGACATTGGTTGCTCGAGAATGACCCTGGAGATGACAGTCTTGTTCGGCAACATCCTGAATGACCAAGCAGCCTTTTTCAAGGAGAGCACTGCTTGCTCCACATGGAGAGAGGCCTAGAAAACGTGGCCTAACCAAAGATCATCTCCACCCAGCTGGCTAACCGTGGCCAACGGGCATCTTCTGATGCGGTTGAACAAACACAAAGAGACAAAGGCATACACCTGCTTCCAAAGGTGTGTTCAGATTGACATTCACATATTGGAACATTAGAACCATGCTTGATACTACAGATAGTGGATGTCCTGAGCACTGTTCTGCCCTAATTGCCCACGAACCATCATGACTCAACACTGACATTGCTGCTCTCAGTGAAGTTCGTCTCCATGAGGAAGGCAGTCTCGAAGAACACGGTGCCGGCTACACACTCTATTGGTCAGGCAAACCCAAAACTGAAAGGCACCTTTCAGGAGTTGGTTTCATGATTAAAAACTCCATCGCCTCCAAACTTGAAAATCTGCCAACAGGTCATTCCAGTCACATTATCTCCCTGTGCCTCCCACTACCAACAAGCCACATGTTGTTCTCTTCAGCATATATGCCCCAGCTCTCCAATCTGACCCTGCGGAAAAGGACAAGTTCTACACCAACCTGTGCCGTCTCACCCAAAAGGTTCCTGCAGATGATAAGATCATAATCTGTGGTGACTTCAATGCCAGAGTAGGAAAGAAATCTGAAGCCTGGAAAGGAGTACTAGGCAAGCATGGTGTTGGAAACTGCAATGACAATGGTTGTCTCTTGCTACAGTTTTGTGCAGAACAGCAGCTCACCATCACCAACATTATCTTTCAGTAGAAAGACAGCTTGAAGACAACCTGGATGCATCCTCCGTCTAAGCACTGGCACTTCATTGACTACGTCTTAGTATGCCAGAGCAATACTGGTGATGTCCGTCATACCCGAGTGATGCCTAGT